GTATTGAGTTCTTACTCTGTGCCAAGTACTTTTCTAAAAGTTGAGGATACAACAGTGCACAACGCAGACAAATAAAGAAACAAATGTAAATAGTCAGCTAATGATAAGTGCTGTGAAGGAAATTAATGCAGGATGAAGGAATAGAGAATTCTGGAGGTGGGCAGTGAGATGACTATAAGGCAAGCAAGTACAAGGTGGGGATGATCGGCATGTAAAAGGAACTACCAGAAAGTCGTGGGACCAGGTCAGCATGAAGGAGGCAGAGAGTGGTAGGAGAGGACGGAGAGGTAGATGACTAGGAGCCGGATCACATAAAGACTTGGCCGTGGTAAAGATGCTGGCATGAGAGAGGAGGCAGGCGTATTATCCTAGGTTTTTAATCTCAGATGAATGAGACAAAAGATGGGGAAGGAGAAAGTTTAGATGGGGCTCACAAACCAAGAATTCTGTTTCAGTAAATTTAAATGCTTCATAGACATCCAAACAGGCATGGAGAGTCAACAGTAGGATAAGCAAGTCCAGGGCCCAGGAAGAGCTGAGGATGAGATATAAATTTGGGGGCTCTTGATGTGTAGATGGTGCCATGACACTGACTAAAGCCACATAGAAAGTGAGTGTGCACAGTGACTGAGCACATCAGTATTTAGATGGGTAAGAGGAGAAGAAGCCAGTGAGGTAAAGGTGAGAGTGAGCTATCCCTAAAGCCTACTGAAAAGTACTAAATAATTGTTTTTCTCTGTTAATACATATTGCTTAACATTGTTCACTAATTACTGCAATATGTTACAAACAAAAAACAAATCTGAACTGTTAATTTTGTTACTTCAGGCCATGGGAGACCTAATTTAGGAGCTAGAAAACTCCCACTTTTAAATTTTCAGTACTTTCAGATGGCATCACCTCTCATACCAGTAGGAAAAATAATTCTCCTAAATAGAGCTATTCTCTGTCTTTAGACCTTAGACTATCTCTGAGAAAGGACATTTGGTAATTGTTTTGTTTTTAAAGGACTTCTCTTCTGGCTGAAAAAGAGGGAAAGAGAATGAAAAGAAATAAAATCTAGATACTATCTAGATAGCAGACAGATTTAAGGTGGCTGGGTAATTTTTAATAATAATAATTTAGAAGTCAGATTTTTGTTTTCAGTAAACTTAAATTTGAAAATCCCAGTGGTCATTATGAGATTTCTATACTTTTCTTATTCAGCACCACATATTTTAGATATAAGCTATAATAAAGTGTGTTTCCAACTGACAGACCTTATTCTGAGTTTTTCTATAGTTAATTCACATCTGAAACATTTCCTTATTCTTTAATACATTGATAATTCATAGAATTTTAGAGCTAGAGAAAATTATGAACATTTTCAGAAATATGGATTTATCTGCCAGTAAAATATGTTTTACTTATATAAACTTTGATTGTTGAACAAAATAATCATGCAATTCTGTTTTGCTGTAAACAGAAAATTAAACAGACTAAAATAAAATTATTTCTACTGATAAAATGAGAAGGAAAATATTTTCCTATGTTTCTTTTTAAAGAAAGTAGTATTCATTGAAGGCTAAATAGAGGTGTATGCTAACAATAGAAAACACAATTGAAGTACTTGGAATCTTTAACCTGTAAAATTTCCTTTCAAGGGGCCATCCACATATGAAATCAGTGATTCCTTCCTAACTTGAGAGCTCCTTAATAGGCAGGATTCTTGTACCCAGCACAGTGCTTGTATAATAAGTGCTCAGTAAATACCTGTTACATGACTTTGAATACCCCTTTTGGGGGATTGATTAGGTAGTAGATGTACTGCTTTTGACTTCCTTATTCTCCCAAGCCACCTTGCACAAATACACTGTGATGTTAGTGCAGGAGATTGTTTTAAACAAATGTCTAAGGGAAGGGGGAGGAGAAGTTAGAGAGCAGTTACGTATGTTTAGAAGAAACTCTTTCAGCTCCCAGCTCCTTAGGTGTTCTTTCTGCCAGTTTCTGTTACATATTAAAATTAAAAGCTGGGTCCAGAGATGGAAATAGATGAGTTCATCCATATACCTGCAGCTCTTTGCAATATGTGCAGTCAACAAACAAAAGGATGGAAAGCTTTTTTTTTAAAAAAGTTATTAGTTTGTATAGCTATGAAAATAACTGAGTTTAGTCATGCCCAAAGCATTTTTTTAAAAAGTGAAAGCCAAATTTTTAAGTTTTTTTTCTATACTTAGTGAAAAATTATGTTACAGTATTTTTCTTTTTCATTTTTCTTGGCAATTTTAGAACATAACTTATTGTAAACACATGATTTCCTCTGTGAATATAGCCAGTGACCTCAAACGTAACATCCTAAGGTTTACTAACAGCTACAAATCAGTATACTACAAGTGTGATCGTCTGGAATTTAAATATCATGTAATATGTATTTTAGCATTTTTATGATCTGTATAAATTGTCCAGTTTTTTGGTTGACTACTTGTACCACTTGTCTTTTCATTTTTTGTCATTCTATGTGTGTGTTCAGTCATATAGAATTACTCCATTTGGGATGAATCTTGAGCTCGAGTAATTTGGGAATAATTTATAAAGAATGACCAAAGCACCAACAGTCTTTTTAAAAGAGTGAAGAACAGCTGCCAATACTGCTGTCATCTATGAGATTAGGAGAAGCCTTTGGTGAAACAGAGAAAGGGGCAGAGACAGCTTTTTTCCTGGCTTCTTCAATACAATATCTCTCATAATTTTTACAGCTTGGCCTACTCAGAGCATCTGAGAAATGTGGGGTTGGAAATGGAGAACTTTGAATTATCATTTTTTTAGATAATGATTGATGTCATGAAAATAATCCAGGAAAGTATGTAGTGTAAACAGGTGACCTAAAACAAAACCTTACAAATAAGGATTACCAAATAAGGAGGAACAAGCAAAAGAGAATGAAAGATGGTCCAAAATAGGAGAGAATCGGAGAAAACAATGTTATGTGTAGCCCACATAAGAATTTCAAGAAAGAGGATGGTCAGGAGTATCCAGTATTGCTGGGAGGTGAAGACTATAAACGTAGATTCTTGAAGACTAAAAATAGACTGATTTCGCGGCATAGGGGTCATTGGTAATCCTATGCAAGGGCCTTTGCATCGGTGTAATGAGGTTGAACATCACGTAGTAGTAGGCTGAAGAGTGGCTACATGATTGAACTCAATTTCCAGCCCCCCTCCCATTTCCAGAGATCAGGGAGCTGAAAGTCCAAACTCTCTAATCACATGACTGGTCTTTCTGGTGACCAGCCCCCATTCTGAAGCCATCTAGGGAATCACCAAAAATCTCTCCATTAGCATAACAGAGACACTCCTATCACTCAGGAAATTCCAAGGATTGTTGAAGACCCCCGTCAAGAACCCAGGACAAAGGCTAGACAAATTATTTATTACACAGTAGTGTACTGACCACAGGGAGCTAAAGAGTACATAACACATTGCCTGGTATTATAGTGGGCACTTGACACGTTTTTCCTTTGTGAAATGATTGTCTGTGATGTCTGTGATGTTGGTCTAAATCAGAGTTATGAAAATTACAAACTACAATTTGGACTTGCCATTGTTGATCCTATGGCATGTTGATGCCATACTATTAATAACAATTCTAATTAGGAATTTATGTTTGTGGAAGGTGTATTCAGTTCCATTGTTTTCTTAAGAAATATGACCCCATTACTAAGTAGGAACCTGACGCAGCTTCTCTTCTGTGCTGATAGATACTCTGTGGTCCAAAGAGTTAAATAATTTCTCATTAGGATTATGATAATTCCATTGAAATTTACCAATAAAAATTTTAAAGTAACACATTAACTAATGCTTTACTTTTTGTTCAAGTAATCTTCCTCTTTGAGGCATCAACTGGAAAACCATTGGGAGACGGGAAGCTTCTTTCTCATAAGGTAATACATTAGCTATTTTTAATTTAATAGCCATATACTTCTTTTTAAAAATTAATATTTTCATGTTAAGGAGGAAAACATGAAAATTAGTTGGATATTTAAAACCAGTGTGCATTCTATATAGAGTATTTTGCCTAAAAATGTCATAAAAACTAAGCACTAGTAAACTCTATAATAGAAAACTATATATGCAAATTGATTGAATAAAAGAATCTGACTTCTATGTTTTTTTACTCAGGCTCTTTACTGCTTTTCAATGTTCTATCTTGACTAAACTTTTAGCACCTATCAGTATCAGTAAATAAAAATGTGTTTATACTTCTAAACAGCTTGCAGTTTGGCCACTGACCTGTTCTTAAGTTTTAAGACTGTAGTTAAGCTGAAAAAAAAAAAAAGATTTCAATAGAAATACAAAAGGACCCCAAATTGTGAATTGTTTATTGGTTTCTGATTTTTAGCCTTAAAATAAACAGATAAGCACATTTTATTAAATTAACATTCTAACAAGTGATGTATTATGGTCTAACGATACTTTTAACTTTATTGTTCAGAGCTATGAGTGAAGTGTTACTTTATATTTTATTTTCTTCTTTTTGTAATTATTAATTTTAAATTAGAGTAACAAATACATTCATATGGTTCAGAAATCTTAAAAAGCATTAAAAAAATACAGTGAAAAATTCTCTCTGCTATATCTGTTTCTCGTCAGTACAGTGTTTTTCCACCAAATAAGTAACCACCATCATTAATCTCCCTATATCATTCCAGAGATTTTTAGAGCATACATAGATAAAGCTGATATATATAATTTTCTCCCTCTTTTACAAAAATATAATATACAAACGTGCACTTTGCTTTTCTCACATAGTGCTCTATTTTTGGAGATTTTTCCATATCAATACATAAAGTGCTTTCCCAATCCTTTTTTTTCCCACCATATAGTATAACATTTTATAGATGTATCAGAATTTGTTTAACTCGTGCCCACATGATGGACATTAAGTTGTTTATAGTCTCTGTAAACATTACATTGTTTATAGCTATTACAGTGTTGCCAAGATGACTTACCTTTGCATATATATCTTCTTGCATATGTGTTAGTGTATCTGTAGCATAAATTCTTGAAATGTTGTTGCTGGGTCAAAGGATTTGAGCATTTGTAATTTTAATAAGTATTGTCAAGTTATCTTACCAAGAAGCTGTATCAACTTATGTTCCCACTGGTACTACATCAGATGCCTATTTCCCTCCAAGATTATTCATTAAAAATCAAGGCTATGTAAGCAGAACTTTTCCTTTTCAGTAGGATTAAGCATATAGAAAGGGAGTGAATTTCTCAGCTTTTCAAGTTGCAGTAATAGGATTGAAATGAGAGTCATTTAAGAAGATTTAATAAATATTTATTTTATGTGATAATTCTGTTTCCAGATCACCTTTCCTAAGTGTAAGAAATTTATAATTTCAGTATTGTAAGAATGGAGGTGACTTCCTCATCTCACACTTTACTCGATTACACAGGAAATTTTTACCTCTTTGCCTTGTATATAATACAAAGAATTTTAAAACTTGGCATTTTATAGCATAATAGAAAAGTATCCTTCAATCTATTTTATTTTCTATATGAAGATACTAAAATCTGAGATCTTCCCAAATGAATAACAGAGCCAAAACTAGAACTCAAGTTTGTCTTTTATTAAATGAATGTTAGTGTAGGGCAAGGGAGAAAGTTCAAATGAACATGAAGCTGCTTATGTCCTGTTGCAGTGAGTAGTGACCCAGGAGGAACAGGACAAACTGAACATAGTAGGATGGGACCAAGGAAGATCCGGGAGCCCTGCTGAATCAGGAGCGAATAGAAGGAGGAAACTTCTCCCTACTATCTGTACATAAAAGACATTATCATTACTGTCTATCTTTGATTTTGTATTTCTTAGAGAGGAGGATTATATCTTTTTAACAGTTTTTAAAAATATAAACTAGGTACTTTTGATGGTGATGATAAGCAATTCTTTGTTGTAAAGAGCAGTTTCTCTGAAAGGTTTACATTTTGAAAATGCCTAGGGTTTTATTTCACCCATATCTTGATGTACATAGAACAAAATTATTTTTTCTTAAAATACAAATTACAGTATTCCAAGGAAGAGAAGTATTTTTGTAAAAAGGTATTATGAACTAGTATATGGCTTATCTTGATCCATCAACTTGGATAAGGGAATATGTCTGTTTTGTTCTGTTTTTAAAGGTGATGTAATAGATGCAATAACTCGGTGATGTGTCACAATTCTGAATTCACAGATCCTAGCAAGTCTTTAGACACAGTAAGCAGTAAATAAATTCCTCTTGGTCTGAATTGAAATAAATCCATACTGAACCATTTCCAAGTTATAAGGAAATGGGTTTCACTAGGTAGTATAACAGTAGAATAGATTAGTACAGTATGCCAGAAATACTTTGTTGTTGTGGACAGAGCACTAATCTTGCAGTCAGAAGTCTGGGTTTTAAATTCTAGATATGCTTATTACCAGCTTTTTCTGAGCAAAATCGCTTACTGGCTATGGATCTCCATCTTCTCATCCAGAAACCAAGTATAATACCTACATCTCAAGATTCTTTCCTATTTCATAGGAAGTGAATGTGAAAGAATCTATAAAATTTAAAGCTCTAAAAACAAGATGTTTTCACAAATCTACTCTTACGAATCTTTAAAATAGAGTCAATCCACTTAGAGTAAATTTTGGTGTGAGGAATTTATTAATCAAAGTAGACTTCTCATGTGACCCAGACTTGCCTCACCCTTTCACTCTGTCTTCCAAAGATAGGACAGGAGGACAATTGAAAGTATGTCTCAGCTTACAGAGTTTCAAAATATACATTATTTTATAGTGTTTTAGTGGGCATCTTTCCCTTGCAAATAAAAAAAAACTACACTTTAGCTTTTGGATCATTAGTATATGAGTAATAACTTTAAATTTAAAACAGGAATATTTTATCATTATAAGTAGATGAGTGATATATAACTGATCTTTCTAAAGAATTTTCGGTGGGGCATAATTAGGTTTATTTATTTATTTGTTAATGGAGGCACTGGGGATTGAATCGAGGACCTCATACATGTTAAGCATGCACTCTACCACTGAGCTATACCCTGTCCCTTGTAATTGACCTTTAAATAAATAAATGTTCTTGTAATTAAACAATTAAAATGATCTAATGTCAAGCACTAAAACTAATCCAATATTTTCATTTTTTTAAATTTTAGAATGAAATTTTGGAAATTGCTCTGGATCAAAAGGGACTTACCAATGATAGAAAAATTGCTTTCATTGATAAAAATAGAGATCTCTATATTACTTCAGTGAAACGATTTGGGAAGGAAGAACAAATTGTCAAACTTGGTAAAATAATTGTAATACATTTAAAATTTTAATTACTTTCAATTTTCTTTACTCTGTCATATATTATACTAAATAGCTTACTTGCTTGAATGAATCTATGAATAATGTTTTGGTCTCTTAACATTTCTTACCTACTTAACTGCCATTGCAATAGCAAGTCTGTAGCTGCTAAAGCTAACTTGGCAGTGAAAGAAAGACTTGTGAATTAAAAATATAATAGCTCTGGGTAAAATATTCAAATATTTTTATGTGAATTTTTACACGTTTTCACCACTATATAATCAGAAAATAGTCATGCCTACCAGCAGTTAGTTGGGGTCTTGTATATCACCTGATTTTAAAGCTATATTTTTAATATTTATTTAGTGGAACTAATAGTACATTAATATTCTTTTTAAAATAAGGAACAATGGTGCATACTTTGGCATGGAATGATACATGCAATATCCTTTGTGGACTTCAAGATACTCGATTTACAGTGTGGTATTACCCCAATACGGTTTATGTGGACAGAGACATTTTGCCTAAAACATTACATGAAAGAGATGCAAGGTAACATTTTACTGCATAGGGTTGTTTATTATGGTAAATAAAATTAATGGTGTCGTGTTTTTGCCTCTAATTTCAGTCCTGCAGTGTATCTTTCACTTTACTTTGTCAGCTAAATAAAATGTTCAGCTAAAGAGCTAGTTTGATGAGATTTAAGTGATGGAATCAAGTTGAAAGTGTCATATAATATTATTAAATTTATTTGTTTATTCCTTATATGAATATGATTTTCCTTATGTGAATATAATTTTCAGTCTTACTGTTGTTTAATGGTAACTCAGGTAGTTTTTTTTCAATGTGGTTTAGTGATTTTTATATAGGCACTCAAGATTCTTCTGTGATACACAACTTGGTGACAATATTTACTGTGTCCCAGATTATCATTTACCTTGAGACTTTCAGGAATATGTATCTCTCTAGAATTGAATTTTTAGGTTAATATTAAATATAAAAAAAGTATATATAAGGTTACTGAAAAGTTTTTTTTATGTTATATGTTTCAGAAAATCAAATGCATTTATAGTCCTAAATTCTCTAAGAAATAGCAAGGAGATCTCTCACTCTTGACAACCTAGGAATACCAAGATTTCTCAATTCCAAATCTTAGCTTAAGTTTAAAATCTATTTTGAGTTCATTTTTTAATATTCAAGCCTATAATATTAGCAAAACTAGATAGGCATCATGTAAAAAAAATTTAAGCTAAAGAGGAGAAGTTAGTATCTTAAAGTTCACCTCTTGTTATTATGAGAAAATAATCTTGGAATCAGCTTAATTTTTGATGTTTACACTTTTGAAAGCTGAAGGTAAATTAATTATTTGTGTGATTTACCTTAAGACTTAGGGAAAAAAAGATAATTTCAAATACTTTTAGACCATGTTCTCAAATATGTAATAATTTTTGCCACGTTAAAATATTTTATATTTTGCTCTAAATGTATAGAGCAAGTTAGAGTCAAATGTTTTTTGAATATATACATTCTCACTGGAATTAACTTTTTGGGGGTATATTTTGGAGGTATGTCTGGGGAGGGGTCGGCTCCCCAAATTTAATATATATGAAAAATTTTGCTCAGAATATAAATTATACTTTGCCTTTTTTCAACAGTGAATTCAGTAAAAATCCCCATATTGTGAGTTTTGTCAGAAATCAGGTAACTATAAGAAGAGCTGACGGCTCACTGATTCACATCAGCATATCACCATATCCTGCTATTCTCCACGAGTATGTAAGCAGTTCGAAATGGGAAGACGCCGTAAGACTCTGTCGCTTTGTTAAGGTACTTTACATTTCAGACCCATATTTGTGTATATATTGTGTATACAACGTCTTTGTGCAAAATGAGAAATAATATGAGCTAAGGTGTAGAAAAATTGTAAATGGGATCACATCTTTTTTTTAATAGGTGAAGACATGAGTGATACAGCAAGATAGATGTTGCTGTGTGATTCATTCTCTGAAGAAGCTATAATTTAAGTGTGTAGTTTTTTTTCCTAAAGTCAGATTTCCAAGTTCTTAACCCCAACATAGATTCTAATTTATTAGATCTGGGGTGAGGCCTGGACATATTTTTTAAGCTCCTCTGATGATTTGTACAGCTAAGGTTAAGAACCTTTACTTTAGATCAGCATTTCCCAACTTGCTTGAATCCAGTGTTTTCCAAGTATATTTGATCAAAGAACTTTTAAATTTTTTATATTCGTTAGCATCCCTTCGGATACATTTTTGTGAAAGGACTTTTAGATGGTTTTCCTTACTGCTCTGTCAGCATTGTCGAGAACTTCACTATTTCTCTGGTTCTCTGTAAGTTGCATTTTTTGACATCTCATCAAAAAGACCGGAGGGCTTGTAACCTTGAGCTATCATAAAAGTACGCCGTAAGTTCAAAAATAAACCTTTGATAATTAGAAACGAACAGTTTCAAAAATTTTTATTCAAAACAGATCTCTATGTGTTATTAATATATTTTAACAAAGTAGCTACAATTAAATTTCTGCATCATTAATTTATTAAATTATTGGTTTTTTCAGTGCCATACTGAGTAATTTTTAATTTTTTCATTAAAATATAACTTAAACTCACTGTTTATTTTAAGGCAGTTCAGCCATGTAGTTAAAATAATTGTTCTCATATTTCACCTTAGGAGCAAACTATGTGGGCTTGCCTAGCTGCCATGGCAGTTGCTAATCGAGATATGACTACTGCAGAAATAGCCTACGCAGCAATTGGTGAAGTAAATAATGTTTACTTATGTGTATATGTTTGTGTGTTTTTCTTATCATAATTTATTACATTGCTATCACTATCCCCTTCTGATATATTTTTCTTTTTTTAGATTGATAAGGTTCAATACATCAATTCTATAAAAGATCTTCCATCTAAAGAATCAAAAATGGCCCACATATTAATGTTTAGTGGGAACATACAGGAGGCTGAAATGGTACTTCTGCAGGCTGGCCTTGTTTATCAAGCAATTCAGATCAATATTAATCTCTACAATTGGGAAAGGTAATAAATGTTTTTCATCAATTCCAAAACCCGATTGGTCTTAATGTATTCTTCTATATACCACTTAGTAAATTACATTTTCCACTGTACTTAATAGTTTCCTAACATCATAGAAGAATTTATTCAAATTTATATTTATATTTGTGAGTAGTTTGTCGTTAAAGATTTTTGCCTTTTCTGAATTGTGATTGATTAGAAGTTGTGTCTGAAGAAGAAAAGAGAGTCTAGGATGTCTCCAAAATTTCTGATTTCAGTAACTGGATAGATGGTAGTACGAATATTAGCAGATTTGGAAGGGATGTTGGATTTGAAATATTTGTGATATGTGATAGATACATGAAGAGATATGTGATAATAGCTGATTATTGAACCTGAAGCTCAAGAAAGATTTGAACTAGACATGTAGATTTAGGAGTCATCAGCAGATGGATGGTGGTTGAACTAGAGAATGGGTACAATTGCCAGGGAAATTGTGGAGTGGTAAGACATCACCTGCATTTATGGGATGGATGAAAAAAGAGAAATCCACTGAAAGATTGGGATAAAGCAGACATACAGGTGGAGAGAGGAGCCAAGAGAGATTTGTGAAGCTAAGAAAGAAATAAGAAAAGAATTGTAACAAGCAGTGGTCAGTAACCTTCCCAGCTAGGTTAGGCCTTGGGACAGATAGCTTTCTGAGACTGAGTGGCAGACTGGTCTTCTGTATGACATATTAGGTTTCTCTGCTCATTCTTGCAGGTATGTATCTCTCAGTGAACAAGGCTGTAGGGCTTATATACATCTGAAGTTATATGTTATAAAGTTGGCATGTTGATTTTTCCAGGTTCAAAATGTCTTTCATCATCTTTGTCTCTCTCTGGACTCAAAATTAACCCATAAATATTTCAATTATAGGCCCCTTACTAGTAATTCCCTTAGATTAGAATTTTTATAGATATCCTTCCCCTTGAACAGAAGTAACAAAAATGGCATATAGTTACTTTTGTCATGGACATACTATGTTCTCCCTTTATTTAAATTAATTAATTTTGTATTGAAGTATATTTGACTTACAAAATTGAATTAGTTTCAGGTGTACAGCAAAGTGATTCAGTTATATATATATTCTTTTTCAGATTCTTTTCCATTATAGGTTATTACAAGATATTGAATATAGTTTCCTGTACTTACAGTAGTTCCTTGTTGTTTATCTATTTTATATGTAGTAGTGTGTATCTGTTAATCCCAAAATCCTAATGTATCCCCCTCTTGGTAACCATGGTTTGTTTTCTATGTCTGTGAGTCTATTTCTGATTTGTAAACATTTGTATCAAAATTCTCTAAAGATAAATCTAATTTACACAGTAATGAGCTATGCTCTTCATACAATTAAGCCACTCTGTTTCTATCTTTTATTTACACAAATTCATTGTCATTGTTTACCTCTGCGAAGAATCATGAAAGATGTTTTTAGTTCTACGAACATGAATAGGCCATTATCCTTGTCTTCAGTTTATTCATAATTCATAAATTTTAAACTAGTTTGGAAAGAGACAGTATGAATAATATTTTTTAAACTCTATATTAAATAACTAACAGAAAACTGTATATATCATTACAGAGCTATGAGTTCCATAAGAAATAGAGAAGAATAGTGCTTACAGCATATTTTCAACCAATATTTTTGAGAAAATACGTTGATAAATGTTAGACATTACTATTTATATAGCACTCTGAACACCGTACAATATAACAAACACTTAAACAAATTTTATTTTAAAGAGCTTACAACCAACTTAGGAATTCCATTTTATTGTCATTAATAATAGTGACGCTACTGTTTATTGAGTGCTTATGACATGTCAGGAATTGGATTAAACCAATTTTCATGTATCATCTATTTGGTCATTACAACATTTTACAAATGAGGAGGTTGAGGGTTACTCATAAATAAGCAGCAGATAAAAGATTTGAACCTGAGCCTTCCAATATCAGGGGACCTGTATTTCTTAGTATCACCAAACAATTAAATATGTACTGCTGGTACCACTACTTACACTGTTTTATTGGATTGCTGTTTATCTCTTTCATTATTTATGTTCGTAAATATATCATTTTCCCCCTTTCAGACTGTACACTTCTCAAAGGACATCTTATATTATCTATACATAGTAGGTACTTAATATTCATGTTCTTAATCTTCATGCAATACTTTTAATCATTTTGCAGTGTACTTCCTCTGCAAACATTGGATGTAGATACATAGTGCGTAAGTGTCCAAGCAGGACAATGAAGCAATTTGCCTCTGATGGCTTCTACTGATAGCCTGTGACACAGCCCTCTGAACATTTCCTGTATCTCCTTGACCTAAGTGAAAATCACCTCTTTCCAGAGGACATTCCTTCCCTACCAGTCCTCTCAAATGGAGTCAGTTTATTCTCTCCAACGCTACATTCCTTATGTCTGGATGTGAATGCAGTTGGTGTCCTTTTTGCCCCCCACATCTTTACTTCTCTTGTAAAAACCCTGTTCCTTTGAGACTGATGTCATGTGACCATACTTATTCTCTGCTGTTAACTTCAAATCCTCCTTACTATCTTTACATCCTGCTCTCTGTGCTCTTCTTCCCTTCTCTCCAATTTTCATCAGATGACCTTGCCTTAAGATATTAGCTCTCAGGGAGAGGGAAAAGAAAAGAGGCAAAGAGGATGTAATGGGGAAAAAGAACAAACACTGGGTGCTCCTCTGTTCCTCCTATCTACCTGGCATCTCCTTTTCTTGTGCTTCTTGCTTTTCATCCAGACTATGATTCAGTGGGTTGGTCAAATGCTGGTAGACTTATACACCTGCTTGATAAGTTGATAAAGGTCAAGGAGCATTGTTCAAGGGTTCAGATTACTATTTACACACTTAAGACTCCCAGATATGCATCTCTCTTCCCGCTCTGTCCTGCCTGTATTTGCTTCCAGAACCCAGTTATCCACCTGCCTACTCAACATTTTCATTGGATGTCTTATTTGTTTTGAGTTCAAATTTACATTTATTTTCTCATAAACTTGGTTCTCTTCCAAAGATAATCTATCTTATCTTTTCAGTCTGCCCCAAGCTGGAAATTTAGGAGTTACTTTTGACATTTTCCTTACCTTCCTTCCCCACAACCCCAATAACTAACCATATTCTCTCCCAGATACCTCTGACACTTGTCTGCTTCTTCACTCCCAGCCCCCTTGTCTAAGCTGATCCACGTTTTTCTTGGTATAACATCATCACTGATCTCTCTGCATCTACTTTGTCCTTTGCCTATCCATTCTTCACACGGTAGTCTTAATGATCTTTTCACAACGGAAAGCTGATCATATTATTCTTGATCCCTGACTCATTTAAATGAAACCCATAATTTCCCATCACTTTAAGCATAAATATCAAGGACTGGATAAGAAATGACTTAAAATCATCAGCAGATGTGATTATAATTGCTAAAAAACTCTTAAGAAACTTTTATGTATTGTCTTCATTTATAAATTTGACAGATATTTCTGAAACCAGTTGAAATATTTGTTCCTATTGCATATTCATTCATTCAGCAAATATTTATTGAGTGTCTGCCATACTTATTTAGATATTACATGGAGATTTCCTTAAAACAACAACAATTACAGTCTTTTAGTGAAATGTCTAGTCATTTTTAATGACTTGTTCAAAAGGGCTGCTGAATGGGACAAGGACAAATGTAGTGGTTAGGATTAGGGTCCTTGGAATCAGACGTAGGTTTGATTTCTAGTTCTGCACTTACTAACTCTGTGATTTTGGATAGGTTACTGAGGCTCTGTAAGCCTTAGTTTCCTTATGTTTAAAATGGTGATAATAACAAAAACCACTTGTTTGTTGTCAGGATTAAGTAAAAGAGTGTGTGAGAATCTCTTAGCATACTGCCTGCCACATAATAAACCTTCAATAAGTGGTAGATATTGTTCATTCTTTATTTATTGAGTGTCTGTAGTGTGTCAGGTTTTAGGCATTGAGGAGACAGCAATGAACAAAACCAACAATGTTCTGTGATGACAATTTTGATTCTAAATGATATGGCTAATATAAAAATTAGAGGTAAGAGGGATGGATATTTGGACCCAATGTAAGAATCAATTTATAACAACATAATTCAAAGAATGGCCTGCTTAGAGAGTAGAATAATCCCTATCTGCAAACATATTCAAACATAGAATGAATGATATAATTATGGGATTGGTTGATTAATTAATTAATAGACTTCTTGCATGCCTATTTGTGTAGATGGTGGTCTTTTAAAAAGATCTGATTTTTTTCTCCACATGTATTTACTTTTTCTCCTGGGAGTGAGTAAGTAATCGTTCTCATAAAGTAAGACTTCCAGAACTGGTTTGTATTATCAAATAGTGTTTTGGGGTTTTGTTTTTTTGTTTGTTTTTTTTTCCTGTTTTTTAATTTTGTGTGTCGTGTATATTCCAGGAAAGTCTGGCAGAGCTTGAATTTGTCTGTGTCTTTTAGCAGCAGGGTAAGCCCACATTTGATATTGTTGCCAAAACACAGCCTCCGTTCTCCATTTACTGAATTAAGACTCAAGGACAGAGTTTTAGATGAAGTAGAAAAAGACAGCTTTATTTCTTTGCCAGGCAAAGGAGGTCACAGTGGGCTAATGCTTCTAAGACTGTGAGCCTGCTGGGGAGAGAAGGCAGGGGGGTTTCATAGTAAAAGTACAGAAGTTCAAGGGGTGGAGCTAGGTTCCATAGAGATGGCATACAGGGTAACAGATTGTTGCAAAGTTGTTCTTATTTTTGCAGATGCAGTGGTCCCCTTCCCTCTGCTGGGTATGAAGCTCACTTCCGGCTTTGGGACTTTTCTAATATCCTTGTGCCTAGAACAAAGGGTGCTTAGAAAGAGAGTTTGTGGAAAGGTGGTCTAGAGAAAAACTTGTGCAGTTTATAGTCAGGTTGATAAATAATTCTAGCATTTTAGGCAGGCTGAGGCCTGGAACCTTTTGCTATAGGCTGAGAGCTGCACTTTGAACAACAGGATACAAGGAAACCATAAAGGGCTAAAAATAAGTACAAATGTGCAGTTAGGGCGAGTTATGAACAACAAGATGCACAAAACACCCAATTGCTATTTCTGAGGTGTCAGGGTCAAGAGGAGGGCACTGAGGTCAAGAGGAAGGCATGGGAAGGGGCAAGAGGAAGGCATGGGGAGGGGCAAGAGGAAGGCATGGGGGGCAAGAGCAGGGCACTGAGCATGATCTCTGCACACAGCACCACAAGGGGGTTGGGTGGACCACCCAAGCCTCCTCATCTCCAGCCTAACCCTGGTCAGCAAGAGCCTGAAAAAAACCCTTTAAACCATTATACAGTTAAGCAGTTACAAACACCATTACAGATATCAGGTGGTCACCAATGACAATAGGGTCCTGCTTGGTTATAGTAACTGTGTAGACCACTACACAGATCTGTGTAGATCTGTACTAAATGGTCAATTTTTTTATGTGGGGAGAAGAGGGGGTGGTGATTAAGCTGTCTGACAATTTGGATTTGTTGAGTTTTAATTACCTTTATCTATCCAGTTCATGAGGTCCTGCAGGGAGTGGGATATATAGGTGTGAATTTCAGAAGAGGTCCTAGACATTGAGGGAAAGCTACTGAGGAAATTATCAGCCTTTGGAGTAATTGAGGCCATGAGTATGGCTAAGATTACCTACAGGAATTTAAAGAATGAAAAAGAAAAGAGGGCAGCAGGCAGATTTCTCTTGATAGTCAACATGTTATGGTCTGGTTGAAGAGGAGGATTCAGCAAAAGAGATCAGGAGGGATCAAAAAAGATGGAATTTTGAAAGTATTCATTTATAGAAAATTTCAAACATATACAAAAATAGAACAGTATCCCCATCACTCAGCTTTAAAAGTTATCAATTTGTGAATAATCTCTACTCCCCATGATTTTTTGAAAACAGATGCCACTGATATCATTTTATCTATGTATCTCACTATGTATCTCAAATTTTTTAAAAATCCAGCTACAATATCATGATCACACTTTAAAAAGTTAACAAGTAATTGTATTCAAGGTTCTTAGTTCTCCAATTGTCTCATAAATGCTTTTTTTTATTTGTTTGAGTCAGGATCCGAAAAAGATCCATACA